AGATTTAACACGGAGCCTCCATGGCTAACACCGCTCTCCACATCTCCCCGTTTTATATATTATGATCAAGGTCCCTTGATCACGCAGATAGACTGTGCCTGTCTCAGGCGAGGAATATAAAGAAATCCCTTAACCGTCATGGAGTCAAGAGCGTCACAGTACTCTTGCTTTGTCTTAGGTTGGTGATTTCCTATACTCCTCTTACCCGTCATTGACTACCAGCCTCTGCAGGGAATTACACCATGGGTTTAGGCGGTGTAGTATGTAATTATAGACCATGAATACTTCCAGCCATCCTCATTAAAGAATGCACAAACATCTGCAGTAGCGCTGGAAGGATCATGCATCTAAGAGGCAGCCCTCCTCCAATAATTACTATGGAAATGAGCCACCACGCAAACGCAGATGTAGACGGCAGAACTCCTCTAATTTGCTCGATAAAAATCCTGTGCAGCCTGGGCTGCATCAAACTCCAGGGGTTCTGCATTTTGGGGATCTATAATATCCAAATCTAAGAACACATTCGCAAAACCATTATCTGATTTTCTGTTCGGGTGACACAACTGCTTATTTGACAATTAAAGCAAATTACACTATAATAATCATAACCTTTCTGAACACTAATATTTCTTACAAGCAATACCTAAGAGCGCATGACACATGCAATGACATTTCTTTTGGGATGACAAGAATTTTCAAACCAGTCCAAAACATAAGTATCAAGTCCAGTAATATTATATCTCACAGAGGCATCCGCCACACATCTCTTCCATGGAATAGTCTTATTGGAGCATTAAAAGTCTGAGGCACTACACCAGTGGCCTCTATACCCACAAGTAGATGTAGATGGACTCCAGTGATCCCACCTTTGCATTGATCTACCTGCCTTCCTGCCAGGGTGCGAGCACTCAGTCTTATACAATCAGTTCTGTTGATTTTGAAGAAACATATGGGGGTTCTGGTTTTTGATCCCATATAGTTGAACAATCGGACCTCGTTCTTGTCAGGTGCCGCCGGCTCATCCAACAGCCTGGTATTATTCACCCATACCATTACTTGTCCATTTTTTCAGCTCGTTGGATGTACAACAGGTGGATCAGGTACATAAGTCCAATAAACCTTCTCATTAAGCGTCATCATTAGATTTACCAGCAGGACAGTTGTCGGGATCATCCTCAGGGGCAGGAGAATTTCCCGCAAAACGGACCCATCTTTCAGGCAGCCACCTGGCACCTTCAGCGTCTTGCGGGAAAACACAAACATGCCCTCGTCCCCATATTAATACCGGGTCAGGCCCACTCCATACACCCGTGAGGGGATCTTTCCACCTCACTTGAGCATATGATGATTTCGTTTTAGGATGCATCAGCCGTTCTGCTGCAGTCAATCCATAAGCATCCACAATTTCCTTTTGCCAGGGGTCCGGGAAGCCCAGAATGAGCCCTAATGTGACCCACATAACAAGGACAGGTCCGGGCATGTATGCACCATTGTATCTGAGCAAAGTAATTGATTGGTGAGGTCCGCATATTGCCCTTCTCCTGCCAGCATGTCATAATCAGTATCATTTCTATTAGCCCGATTTAATTCAGCTGTTCTTTGACACCGCTTGGAAAATTCTGTTTTCCAAAGGAGGTAATCTCCCCCAGACAGGCATGCCTTAGCAAGCTGTTTCCAATCTCCGGGAGGCAGCGCCTCTGTGCTCAACGATTCTAACATAGCCTGAGTAAAAGGTGCGGTAGGGCCATATTGTGCACGTGCCATTTTTAACACTTTAAGTTCCTTAAAAGATATTGGCCAATGGATTCTGACCACATTCCCTTGAGCGTCAGCTTCCTCAAATACTGGACAAGCTAAATGAAAGCCCTGGGTATCTTCCCCTCTGTCAACCGCATGTTGCAGGGTAGCTTGTAATGGCGACAGAGACCGAGAATTGACAAAGGCCTGGGTCCTGGGGGATGTTTAATCATGGTCTAAGAGGGTCAGTTTTTTTCATTAATCTTGGACCTGCAACCGGCGGGGGATCAAAACCAGCTATTATACTAGGAACTATTCCTCCCTCGCCCTGAGTCTTCTATAGGAGGCGGAGGGACAACCTCGGGAACACCAGCCTTGCCAGGCTCCTCCGAGGAAGGACTTGAGGAGGGTCCTTGAACCCTCTCTCCCTCATACGGAGAATCCAAACTATCTCTAATTAAAGCCCATAAACTAAAAGCATCTACAGGGATTTTAGTGGGTCCATGACCATCGTAATAGTCCTGAAGTCGCTTCCCACCTTATTCCATACTTCTAAACCTACTGTGCCTTCTTCAGAGAACCAAGGACAAACTTTCTCTACGAATTCTAAAAGTTACATAATTGTTGATGCCCTACCTTTGCTCCACGAGACCGAAGCATTTTTCTAAGCGCATGTACAAAAAGCAGCCGGCTATTACCAATGCCCATCTTGCTACTCCCGAGGGCATTCACCGCCCTCAATTTACTTATCCGAGCTCACGATCCGCAGCATCCTTCACTATGGTCCCCCGTATTCAGGTCCCTATTCGGGCGCCACCCATGACGGAGCCAGCCGTCACTTGTCGAACAGTACCTGAATGGGGGAGTGAGGATGAAGAAAAAGAAAGACGCAGAAAGAAAGACGCAGAGATAGAGTCAGGAGCCTCTCAGAGAGAGAGAGAGTGCGTGCCGCCACGCTTTTCACGCGCCTCCTTTTATTCACCGGTGAGTTTGGTTATTAATCATGACCCTTACCCAAAGACACCTGCTTCCTTGTTCTCTAGTTCTTTGGAAATTCCCCACCCTCATGGGCCTTCCCGTTTCTCGGGCTTACAAAACGTTCATCATGCTCCAGGACAATCTCCGAAGGTAAACATCTAATTTGGCAAGGACGCGGTTCCTCGTCACAGCGTCTCCTTGCTCTGTACAATGGAGGGTGAGATTTAACACGGAGCCTCCATGGCTAACACCGCTCTCCACACACCAGTCTCTTCACCTCTCTGTGCCACATTTTTCTCATCTCCAAAAAGGTGGTAGTAAGACATGCAAATGTGCTTGCTACAGAGTAGATTTTCAGTAAAGACCAGCCCTTACCAGTGCTGCTAGGACCCAAGCAAATGTCTCAGCAGTTAGTGCCACGTCTCATCTCCTCATGGCACAGAAATAGAATCACCTGAACATGTCCTAATTACAGAAGGAATGCACACTGACCATGCAAAGTGGGAGGGGACAATGCACATAGAAAACTGTGTCCATGGCCTGCACCTGTTCCATCAGCTCAGCACACACACACCTGACATCACCTTAACACAAGCATGTGCCTAGGTAATGTGAGCAGTGGTAGTTACATGTTACTACCACGGTGCCCCAAGATTCTGTGGCCCTAGACAGTGACCATCTGTCACTTGCTCCTAGTCCTGCACTTCGACCAGGACAGGGTGCTCCACAGTCAGCAAGGCACAGACCCGACTCCCATACATGACGCCTTGCTTCCTTCCTGGGTAAGCCAGCGGAAGGGAGTGGGTCTCAGATGACACGCAGCTGGATCACACTGAGTCCACTGTCGCTGCCTGTGTTGATCATAGCCCTGACGGTGACCATGGTAACCCTGTAGCTAAGACCAGCTGCTGGTCCCCTGCGCCCATGGGCCTTGGAAGGAAAATCACCATGAGTTTCATCAGCTTCCTGGTCCTTCCCTGCTTGGGGACAATGTGTACACTCAGCCTCACGGGGTCACCCACTCCCACTCCCACGCTCTCCCATTCACTTCTGAAGGCTCAAGATGATCACAAGGTCCCATCCAGCCACGCACACTCACGTGATCAATCACCCCCTTATGCACACATTTACTCTCACACACTCACCACTTGGCAGGCAGACGGGATCCTCGACTGCAGTACGCGCGGGGAAAGCAGCAGAAGCCGCCGGAGTCCAGGACCCCGGCAGTCCTCAAACCCCGAAGTTCGCGCGAACGGAAGTTTGCGCTTTCCCGGGTCAACCAAGAGAGTCTCCAGCCCACTGCTGCCCTCAGGAGCTCTCTGCGCCTGCGCGCCTCAGAGCCTGTGGGCACCGCCCCTCGGTGGAGTCGCTGACCCGGAAGTCACCTCAGAGGGGTCCTGCAGCTTCTGGTGCCTAAGGACTCCGCGCAGACTGAGAGGAGAAAAAGGGCTGAGAAAAACCGTGGAATCCAGCCCATCCACGTCAGGAGAAGATGAAGTTAGGGCTGTCGGAGGCCAAGTGGGAGGATAGCGAGCTCAGCGCGGGGCGGACAGAGGAGCGTGCAGAGGGCGGGGACTCAGCAGAGCAGCCCGAGAGCGAGGGGCTGGCGGGGGAGCGGGCGGTGCTGGTGGAGCCACCTGCTTCGGACACTTCGGGACGTGGATCGAACTGGGCGAGACTCAGCCAGGAACCCGGGCCAGAAAGGTGACCATGCAGTGCCCTCTGTGACAGCGGTCAGAAGAGGAGGAGCGAGTGGGCGGAGCCGAAGCCGTGGGCGGAGCCGAAGCCGTGGGCGGAGCCGGTCTGACTAAACTTGAGCTGCGGGCATGGGCGAGCTGGCAGGAGGAAACCGAGTGAGTGGAGCGCAAGGGACCAGAGTGGATCCCAGCGAAGCTGTCCCGAGGTCCTGAGCTGGAGCTGTGCGGGGTGGAGTGGAGCTGAGCAGGTTGAGAAGGGGAGGTGGGCAGGGCCTTCTGCAGGCCTTGGGAGTGGGAGAGGCAATTGCTCCAGAAATCCTGTCAGACATCAGCTTTGGACTGAACCCTTGAGACCCAGCGAGAAAGCAGGCTCCTTGCTCTCCCATGGCCCAGATATGCGCTCAGACAGAGTCGTTTCCGCTGGTGGCCTCCATTTCTCTGTTTATAAACATAGGGCAATGGAAGGAGGCAGAGGGCGCCAGTTGTTCAGCCTCCCTTGTTTCTATCCACTCGTGGATGCTGTGGATTCTCCATGTATGCATGGGTTGGATGCGATGTTTTCCTCTGGCATCCATCTCTTGGGTCCACTTCCCCTGGGAGAGTCCTGGGGAATGTCACTTGAGAGACTTTTTTTCCGCAAGCGTAATTGTCCCTGGTTCCTTCACAGAGGCATCTGGGAGGTCTGGGAGGTCAGAGGGCAAATGTTTGATCCAAACCCACAGTCTTCAGCCTGGTTAGGTCGCCAAAGTTACCTTATCTACATTCACATGCCGGGCTCGTTTTACCTGGGAACTGGAAGAATCCTAAGTGACAGGTAGTCGTGGCCCATTGCAGAGCAACATGATTCACCTCACCGTTGGCATCTGGAAATGAGGAAGATAGCTCACATGACACCTGCTGGTGGGAAGCCACTCCAACTTCATCACTCCCTGAAAGAGGGCTTCTTCATGGATGGGGCACAGGGTCTGTGTTTTGACAGTATGATCCTTTAGTCTTTCATGGACAAATACTCTTCTTGTATTTTTACATTAAACACTATTGTGTATGAACCACTGTTGTAGGAAGCAAGGTTAATAGACTGGAGGAAATCATCCAGGGTTCCCTGCTTCTGTTCCAGTAGAAGGCTGCTGCCAGTGTCTGACCCAAGAATGCAGGCAGTAAGCAGGCCTGGGGGACTGATGCCTTAGGCATGGGATCTGATTTCACCATTTCCACTGCTGGATTGTTCCATACCACACTCTGATCGTGTCACTTAGCTACCTAAAGCCCTTTCCTTCCTATGACACAAGCACAAACTGGCCCTTGCCCACTTCTCCCGTGCTATCTCATCATCCCCTCAGATTTTTGGAACACCAGGCTGTCATCCTTCCCAGTGCCTACCTCTGCCCTCTGCTGTATGCAGTTTTGAAAGTGCTGCCCCTTTTCCAAAGTGCTGTACTACACATGAGACACCACAGAGCACCAGAATTGTGTGTAATTTCTTGTCTAATGACCGCTGGATTCTTGGCATACTGGCTTGGTTACATGCATTTTTAGAGAGCCCCAAGCATAGCACTTGTTTTATAAGCAGGCTGTGTCTTTAGTGCAACTCGTGGGGGATTTTATATGTCCAATTAGTTTTTCACCTGTGAGAAGGAAAAGGCGTACTGTGCAATGCATTCCCCATTGCATTTTCTACATCATCTCTGTGGAGTGCAGAAGCCACACAGTTTCATTCAGCAGCCAGGTAAGGGTCTGGATTCACTCATGGCCTGGTCCTGTAGCTGTTGTTGCTGGAGTGCTTTATGAATCGGCCAGGGTGGGAGGCATCCTTTCTCTCTGGTATGTGCTGATTTTGATAAACCAAGAACAAATTAAATCAAAGGATCCCCCCCCCCAAAAGCCACTTTTTAAAATAAGCAAGTACTAAGTAAAGATCATTCTGCTCCACATTTGGAGCAGAATTTCTTTTATTTCAAGAGTGTCAGATTGCGTACACCTCCCTATTTTAGGAGGGGTCAACAAAGTTGTACTGCACACAGATTCAAAACAGTGGATGTCACTTTGTCTCTGCTGACATGGCATGAAGGGACATTTCATCCTTCAAATATGACTTCTCTAGAAAAGCAGTCTGTTAGGGTGAGAAAAATAATGCAATGGTAGCAGTAGTGTTTCTTTTAATTCACTATTTTTAATTTATATGGGCGGTCCTGTAATGCAATGTACACAATAAATTAAGCCTACTCGGGGTCTATTTTTCCACATGAAGCAGATTGTCACAGGGCAAATTACTAAGAATATTAGTGCGTTTACCCAGAAGGTTCAAGGAACATTTCAAGGGAAGTCACTGGGCCTGAGGGGTCCCTTTTAGAAGTGGCTCCTTAAGCATTTGTCTTGTTCCACATCTCAGTTTCAGTTTCTTCCTCTGTGAAGTCTGCTCATGGTCCCTCCTTCCTGGAGCTGTGACAAGTCAGTGAGATCTCGTGTGTGAAAAGGCTTTGAAGGCTGTGCTGCTGGGGAAAGGACCAATGGGCTCCTGTTACACCCACATGGCACTTTGGGTGGTGTGGAATAGGTGGCCATTTCTCCTGCTGGACCAGACCTGTGCCAGAGTGCATGGCATTGTGCGCTGAGCCTGTTTGAATTTCAGCACCATTGTGCTCCTGTCCATGTAGCCTAGGGCACAGTCTGCCCAGTTGTTGTGTCAGTTGTGTGGCTAGAGGCCAAATTCACACAAAGGAGCCTGCTCTGACAGCCCCTCCCGGACATATTTGGCCCCTGCTTCCCTGGGGTGGCAGTGGAGCCCAGCTGCTACCCACTGTCCCGTCCAGATGCTTCTCTGTCAGTATCCTGGGTGAAGATCAGTTCCCGTAGCTCAGGGAATCTGCAGCTCATGTCTTTCAGGGCATGTCCTTGTTCCTCCTCCCACACAGGGCATCCCCAGTTTCTCTAAAAAATGAACTTGTTTGGAAATATACTGTGCAGCCTTTTTCCTGCTAACACCTACAGGTTCTAATTAAATCACTCAAGAAATAGGCCATCACACATAGGATGTGACTTGATTGTTGTTCTGAAGTTGGCTTTAGAGCGCCTAGATCTCTGCTATTGTGACAAGTTGAAATGCATCATTTGAGAAATCTGCTGTATTCCACTTGCAGGAGGAAGGAGGCAGATATGAGAACTTGATCAGGCCTGTGTGACTTTGAACATTGAGGAAACCAATGCTTAGGACTCCCAGGATGTCTGGCCCAGCTATGGATTGGAGTTCAGCTTCCATCAAATGTGTTACTTCTCTGCTGGGCAGTCTCTTGAGCAGCTTCGTCCACTCTTTGAGCTGAGGTAGCTGTAGGGACCCAGACGCGCTTCCCTGAGAATCCAGGAAGTGCCCCAAATGCCCCTGTCTTTTCCCCCTTGACAGGCTATAATTGTGGAAGCCATGTCTGGTGAGCTAAAGGGTACTTGGAGGAATGGAAGCCCTTTCCAGTGCAGAGACAGCTAGCAGTGCTGTGATAATTAATCATGTCAACTTGAATAAGAAATGCCTAGCATATTCAATTACACATTGTATCTGGATGACTGTTTTAAGTGAAGAGGGGAAGAACCACCCTGAATGTGGCATAAAAAGGGAAAGAAGAAGGAAGTTCCTCTTTATTCTTCAGAGGAATTCCGGTCTTCGCCTTCACCTTTGGACCTCCATCTCCAGGCTTCCAGGGCAGACTCTTCCATCTTTCAGCACAGAACCGAGAGCTTCCTGATATGGACCAAAGGGACTGTGCAGCATTCTCCAGGCCTTCCACCTCTGACTGGATCCTCCTCTCCAGGGTGCAGATGGCCTTTTGTACTCTCCACCCTGATGCTGCATGTAGCCCTTATGTTAAATATGTTGTGATACATGTCACCAGCTTCACTTTCTCTGATATTTCTTAGCAGTGCACCATTCTACCCAAGCAAAAGGTCTATTTCACCCCCTCCCATTCTTTCTTTTCTTTCATTTGCACCTTCTTTCCAATCCTCCAGTTACTTGTCTTGTTGCTGCCACAAAATACCTGAAATCCACAAGTTAAAGGAGGGAAGGTTTATTTCAGCTCATAGTTTATAGAAGTTTCAGTCCATTGGCTGTTGGCTCCAAGGCACTGCAGCTTAGCAGACAGGCATGGCAGAGGGAAAACAGTCCATAGTTTGGCAGGCAACAAGCAGCAACAGCCTACTTTTCCCTTTTTATTCCAGCCAGGCTACAGGCCTTTTGTGTGGCATCGTTCATGCACAGGTTGGGTCTTCTATCTTCATAAATCCATTCAGCCATACCCAGCATTATGCTATTTCCAATCAAATGACTGATTTAATAGCAAACACACTTAATTCCAGTTCTCTAGATCTAAGCATCTCTGAAAAGCCCCAAGTATGAGCACATGAGGCCTTGGGGGGTCATCTAGATACAGGACATAACTAACACTCAGTTCGTCCTAAATGTTAGCTGTCCTGACACTACTTTCTGAGATGACTCTTTTGTCGCTACATTCTCTTTGGAACTTTCATATGGTAGACAGACACATCCACACACTTGTGCACTTACTTGCACTTACATGCACCATCATTCATTCATTCAACTGTGGAGACTTCACAGGTAAATAATTTGGGTCCCCACAACCTAAGTAAGAAGGGATAAGGTACAAGGCCACATAGAGGGTTGGGTCACCAGGAAGGGTCCTTCAAAGGGAGGATGCTCCAGCTGCTTCTTGGTGGATATGGTGCTAAACACTAGTGCATCTCATTGGAGCTGCTGTTTCTGATCCTTTAGCAGGTATGGGCTGAACCTGCCATGTTATTGGTTTGTTTAATCCTCCACAAACTGACCAACAGATATTTTTTATTCCCATTTGCAAGAAGGAAACTGAGGCTTTGAGAATTCAGTTAACTTACCCATGGTCTAGCCACTCTGGGCAGTGGGGCAGGCTGTGAACCCAGATGCATTAGCCTATAGGGCCTGCTTTGAACCCACCTGTCTGCATTCATAGTCTCTCAGGAGGCAAAAGGGACAGGAAGTGCATCTCCAGGCTGAGGGGAGAGCAGGAGGAAGGGCATGAAGCCTGCATGGAGCAGAGGGGAGTGTTGGTGGGTGGTCAGCCGTTTGGACTTGCTCAGTGGGAAAAGAGTCCTGTGGATGGAGCAAAGGCCCCTGAGAAAGAATGACAGCTGGGGAGTTGCACATGCTGGCCCCTAGATTTCATAGTGGAGGCTGTTCCCTTACGAGGCTGAGCCCATCCACGTGCTCCCTGCACCTCTGAATCTTCCGGTTGTGCCTTGAGTCTCTCTCTGGAGGTGGGTATCACGGGGCATTCTGAGCTCACATGGACGGTGAACTGCCTGGGCCCGGAGCAGTAGTCTGAAGGAGATAAGAGGGACAGGAAGACACTGTTAAGGTCTCTGTTGCTTTTGCTGTCTTCTGCCATCATGGACTGTCGCCCCTCTGCCATGTGCCACCATCCCTGGGAGCCAGCTGATCATGGACTAAAACTTCTACAAACTGTGAGGTAGATAAACTCCTGCTCTCTTAATTGGGGGGTGTCCGCTATTTTGTTTCAGCAACTAAAAAATAACTAAGACGCCATGACAGAACTGGAACATCTGTGTCAGAAGTACAAGTCTTAAAGTGATAACCCTGGTCCACTGGCATCGAGTGACTGATGTGGAGCTCCTCCATTCAGTGTGGTTAACGGCTCTCCCTGAAAAGACAAACACACGGGGCTGGCGGTGTTGCAGCACCTCTGACTGAGGTGTGGATGCACGTGGACTACAGGGCGAGTGCGGTCTGACTCAATTTGAGCCTGGGTACATGAGGCCGCGCTACCTATCTTGACCTTTTGAGAGAGGGCATGTAGCTCAGATGTTCTTGTTTAAACCTGGACCCTTTGAAACCATTTCACAAAGAACCTTACCTGGAATTCTCCACCTCAGTCCTTTTGTATCACCCCAGATGGCATTCACGCGAATAGATTGTAGATACAAGCTTGAGACCATATCTGAGAGGAGATGACCTCTGAACCCTTGCTCTCAGTAGCTGTTTATGAAATTGTGGTCCATGGAGGTTGAGAAGCCAATCATCAAACATGTTTTCTAACCTATGTTTTCCACTAGGACATAAGACCTCAGATGCACAGCCACAGGGCATACAATACTGAGTCTATCTCCAGAAGGGTGTGGGAGGGGAGATCGAAATGTTTATCCAAGTTCACAACCCTAAGCTATGCAAACACACCTAATCCATGGATCCGTCTGCCTAAGACTGTAGGATCTAACTCTACACAAATTCAGCCTATGGAACACATCCGGGACGTCCCCCTTGATTGTTAGCTTTCTTCCCGCGCAACATTTTCTCCCCATGTTTCTTTAGATGGATGTCACTTTGAATCATGTCACCTGCCTTCGTAAAATGGAACAAAGTGTGCATAGGAAAGGAGATGTGATTGGTGGGGGTTTCCCCCTTATACGCATTTTCATATCAGGAGTAACAGTGAAAAGCCATATAAGAAATTATTCGTTCTTGCCCAGTAAGTCCCTTTTTCCTTTGTTTATTCCTGCTTATTTATTGGGATAAATAAAGCATAGGGCCTCTGTGGTTAAATAGGGTGGTGCTGGCTGTATCACTAAATTGTTGTTCCTGTCCACAGGTAAAAAGATCGGTCCCAGTTTCTTTGGACTGTTCTTGTTTCCTTTCTCTCTTTTTCGGGTGTGTGAAGACAGTATTTTCTGTTTCATTTTTATATATTCCACATTTTAATCCTAGCATCAGTTTGACACCATTGTTGACCTTATTTCATTTTCCCTGACCCTTGTCCTTCCAGTCCTTCCACTCCCCGAGCTAATATGACATCCTGTTAAACCCAAGCCATTAAATGTTTATTGATAATAAACTGCCATAAAGTGTCACTTTCACAAAGTCCAGCGTCTCCTAATGGTTTTTTGCTGTCATCTCTAATATCTTTATAGATCTACCAATAGTATTTTTAGCCCATTGGCCTGGGCAAATTTATTGCAGATATCTAACTATTATATACCATGTCTGTTAGAGTTATATACCAGACCAGGTTTAAGAAATCAGTGAGCCAGGATTTCTGTCCCCAAGAATTTGATTCTGCTACCCCTGGACAAAGGGCCCTCCTCTGCTTTCAATATTGTTAATGTCAGTTCTGTAGACATAGGTGTAGTTACTTAATAGGTGAGGCAAAACATGCAAATTTCCAGAAGATGACTGTTGCCCCTGTGGTAGAGATGTCAGCAAAAGTAATGATGGCTGGAGTCATTTCTCTCATGTAAGTGCCAGAATTATTGACTATGGATGATAGGGAAAAGTTTTAAGGTAAGTTTAGTAGATTAGCTATTAAATTAGTTGTGGAAGCAAAATAGGTAGTGTATCCCTTTAAAAGCTTGCCTTAGCCTGTTGCTTTTGTTGTTTAAAGTGAAGGTTATATAGCTCCTTTGATCTGTAGCTCCACTATAGATAACATCCTAGCTCTGAAGAACAAAGTGGGAATCCTTGAACAAACTTGTGATGTATGTGCCTTAACTGTCATGTGTTTAGGACTGTAATGAGTGACAGAAACCACCTGTGTCTAACCATTAAACAGGAATTGGAACTTTATTTACTTAACAAAGACCACTAGGGATGAGATAATGACTGACAAAAGTATAAAAGGTGATGGACAAAGAATGCAGTGTTCGGACTCTGACCAGACCAGTTTCTGGCAGTCCTGCCTGCTTGCAAGTAAACTTTTATTTTACCCGAATTCTGTGTCTCCATGTATTTCCATGATTCCTGAACATACATACTTAATGTTCTTAAAAGATCTCTTAAGATTTTAAAATTTCTTTTATAATTGGAATAATGTCTTGCAGAACTAAGTCCTAACTTATCTTTGCTTTCAGGGTACGTTCTCACCTAGACATTAAATTCATTGAGTCAATGGAAGAACATTTAGGTGGGTGATAAGAAACAAAGACTAAAACATAATACCTTGGAGCTTACAGTTTGCAAGACTCTCTCTTGGAAATCAACTGCTTTAGCAATGAATTCTAATGGAAGCTGTGTAACTATGTTGATAACCTTCTCTGTCTTGTCCTAAGAGCGATTCTTCCCTTAATGTGATAGGTAGCATATCATTAAATTAAGTAAATAGGCAAACAAAAGATAGCTAAATAAGGGGGCAAAAATGCACAAACTCCAATATAAACAGATGGAAATGAAACCAACTTTTTTTTCCAGATAACAGAGACTTACAATTCAATACAGACTTAGATAAACGGGAGTCCTAACAGGAGTGCCCTGGAGAGTAATGGTGTTGCTGTCATGGGGAGGCGGAAGCTGAGATGTCAGTGATTGTCATTTGGTGCAATGTTGAACTTGAACACTAAAAATTTGACCCAACCTCTGTACTAGGTTGTTGAATGGAAGCAAAGTTCAACTGCGTGAGAGGCCTGGAGACCTTAACTGCTTAATCATACCTGCCTGATCTGTGTTTTTTAGCTGGAGTGTGAAAATCACTTCCCAGTGTATACTTCTCAGATTATTGCACTGTATATCTTAAATGTAAAGGTTTTATTTTTGAAATTATACTATAATAACTTTGAGGGAGAAAACGAGCAAGGGAATTATTCAATAATGATAAATAAATAGAGTAATATCAGTAAGCACAGTGCTGCTCGTGGCAGAATCTCATATTGAGTATTCCCATCCTGTTGGTGTGTGTGTGTGTTTGTGTGAGTCTGTGTGTCTGTGTGTGTGTGTGTGTGTTTCATCCATGAACAGTAGTATGTGGAAATTTTCACCACTCAGAAAGATTTGATCTGTTTGGGTAGTTGAGTCAAGAGGAACAAAAGAGAGAACATTTATGCAATGATGAAGTATATTATAGGGAACAGTTTCTGTGCTGAATCTATGTCTGGAAATCTTAGTTATACAGAAAAGGAAGGAAGAAAAGCAACATCAATGATGTTGATATTCATTTGGCTTATATGTAAAATAACACAGTAGTGAAAATCAATAGCATATAGGCATTAATCATGGGAGTTATGAATACGTAAGGCAGGAGACGTTTACATGGAAAAGTCTATACAATTGGAACATTTTAATTATTTTCAGGCCTGTACAGATATGTACAATTTTACTATGGATTATGCCTCTAGTAAGAGAAACTATAGAGAGTCACGAAAGACTGGCTATCAAACTAAAAAATGCACATAGATCACCAGGGTATTTTATTTATTCTTATTGCAAGAAATAATAGACCTGTATTTGGAGAGCCCAACTTCAAGTACTTCAAAATTTGGATGTGTTTACATCCCCAGAGAAATTACTACACTACACTGATATAAATAACTCTCCTACAATTTGTATTATGTTTATACTACTTTTTCAAATAATAAAAACTGCAATGTATTGCATTTTATTCATTTTACCATTTTATATAAACAGAGAACTGGGGCCGGGGATTTAGCTCAGTGGTTTCGCCACCTGCTGCACAAGCACAAGGACCCGAGTTCGATCCCTGGTACCAAAAAAAAAACAAACCCCACAAATAAACAGAGAACCGTACTGTATATGCTATTTATAATTGGATTTTTAAATTCCTTATAAAAGGATTTTTAATTTTTTTATTCATATTGGCATGCAGTGGTTACTTGGTAATAATTAATTGATTCTGGGAGAAGTGAAGAGTTACCAAATACAAGTACCAAACAAATTGTTTTGCCTGGAAAAGGTAGCACATCATTAGGAAAGTTGTAGCTTTAATGCTGGGTACCAAATGACAAGTACCAGGACAAAGGATTTACATCAAAATGCATCAAGCACAAAATTTGAGGAGTTTCAAAACAATCGACTTGCAAGGGATAACTATATTTAGTTCTCTATCATGAATTTTAATTAGAAGAATATACCACTACATGTTCCCTTTATTTTTATTTCACCCTTCTCTAGCTGGTAGGTGTTATGGTTACTGCCTTTTAATTATGACTATATATACAACGTAGAGCTCTGGAAGGGGGACACTGCCATATTCAAGACAGCATGCCCAGGAAAGGCAAGAAGTCTGGGAAGGAGATATCAGGTGGTGAGTTCTGTATGCTTTTATTCTATTTATTCATTGAAAAAGACTTGGAACAGACGTAAGCAAATGTCAGCACTGGTTAATTTTGGAAAGACATAGTGGGTCCTGTATTGCTGTTGTTAATCAAATGATCCTTGCTGCTTCTCCTTAAAAATATTTGGTAGATTTAGAAAACAAAACATGAAGCTGAGTATGCTGGAACTTGCCCATAATTCCAGCTACTTGTGATGCTGAGGGAGAAGGATCACATGTTTAAGACTAGCATGGGCATTTTAGTGTAATCCTCTCAAAATAAAACCAAGAAATTAATATAATGGGGAACAGGAAACTACCAGGCAATCCTCTCAGTACATCTCTCTCTTTCCCCAGAGATTTTACAGCCCCACACCAAAGGGATAAGATAAAAGTTCACTATATAGTCATGGCTCAAATACCAAGGGGAACAAGCAAAGGGAATAAGAAAGGAACAGACTGGTATGGTCTCAATCCTGTTCCCCTTGAAATTTATATATTGTAGTCTTAATCCTCAATACAGCAAATATAACCACAGTGGAGATGGTTCTTAGGAGGCATAATAAATTTTAGAAGGTTGTCTTTAAAGTAAATCCCAAACCAATATGACTGGAACCCTTGTAAAAAGTGAAAGTTAGGACTCCTTCCTCCAGTGGAAAGACTACAAAAAGACACAGGGATAAGACAGCCATCTACACACCAAGAAGAGAGGCCTCAGAAGAACTAACCCTGATCATTCACCTTCTACCTTCCAGAGCTGGGAGAAAACATTTCTGTTAGTCATTTACCCAGTCTATGGCACTTGGTTAGAGCAACTGTAGAAGGCACTTGACCAAAACACTCTCTTCTTCACTGCACAAAAAAAGGCCTTATACTTTTCTCCTGATGATGACATCCTCAAAACAGAGGACATGATGTGAATATAAGAGTATATAATTCCAGACAGTGGAATACCAGCACGTATGCAACACGAAATGTATATCAGGATGTTATCAATGACAGTATCAGAACAGGCAAGCTTGATCAACTGAGCAAGTTCATAGAAGAACTGGGGGATTTCCAGGTCTGTGCAGAAGGATAGCCTCAGTCCCACCAGAGTGTGCAGCACAGAGTCTGCAATTCTGATTAACAAAGGAGACCAGAACAAGCAAAACACAGAAGCAGTGACTGTGAACCGTAGCAGAGACAAATGGCTGCATAGCACTTATAGGCCATTACTGCGAGGAAAAAACTTTCTAAGAATGCAAAAACTAGGACAAAACCAGCCTGAGTGAATCAGCCTGTGTAAGTGATGATCAGATACCATGTTTGGATGTTCACCAGCATCTTTGGGATCGTGCTTGTGCGGGAACAGATGTCATTAAAAGACAGAATGGAGAGGAAGAAGTACAAGGGGGTGTGGAGGTGGGACTCAGAGCTGACAACCAAGATGATGAGCAGGTTCCCCAAGATGGTGACCAAGTATATGGATAGGAAGAGGCTGAAGATGAGGGGCTGCAGTTTGGGATCATCCGTCAGCCCCAGGAGATTGAATTCTGAAGTAGCTGTTTGATTTACAGCTTCCATGTTGGTGATGAATCTGCTGGAAATTACAAGTAAAGGCAGAGAATGTGCATGACCAGCAGCAGCCACATTTGGAAATTTATTATAAAATGAGTCTTTGGTAACCCTGATCTTTGGAATTGTAGCTTTCAGAACTGTGAGATAGTGAATTTCTGTTATTAAGCTATCCTAACTATACTCCTTTTTTATGGCAGGCCTAGCCACTAGCATCCTAAACAAACATCTTCAACCACACCAAAATATGTACGAAAGTTTTAGTAGTGCCATTGCATTGAAAATGGTGCACATTTCTGGTCAGAAAGAAATAGGCCCTCTCACTGTAGAGTGTATGAGACCAGAAGATCGCGAACAATTGTGAATGGGTCAAAAGATGTTAAAGTTGACAGCAGAGGCATGAGTGTCTTTCCTCTCACCACCTTATGCATGTCTTCTCATGGCTATTTTCTGGGATGAAATTCTGTTAATACACTGCCTTCATTTTTAAATCCTTAGCTATGGGAATTGTGCTACCTTGTTGACTTCAAGAAAAATAATGTTCACAACTCAGCTGGATATTGAAGATGGAACATCCATCCTCAGATAGTGCAGACAGCCTAAATACATCACGAGGCTCCTGTTCAGGAAGAGTCATCTCTGAACAAAGGTATAGTTGTTTTAGTTTTTTACCTGATAGGGCAGGGCTCTTGAGATGGGTTGTTATACACCGAATTCTATAGTCTTCTGGGGTCTCAATATCCATAGCTCCTCATTAGATCACCAATTTTCTCTCATTCTGGTCCCAGGAGTACATACCCTTAGAGACCAAGAAGATACCAGTCAGGAATTGATGATGGCTCATTTTCTGACTCCCAAGTCCAGGTCTATAATATTTATTTATCTCCAGTATTTCTGTTTACATTTATTTCACAAGACTTGCATACACGAAACAGGAAAATGTTCTAACAAAATTCTAGCTTTACATTTTATCTGTAAACAAAAGCATCCCTATCTATTTCATAGTATCAAGAATACTGATTAAATTTTAGGCATGAAAATATATTCAATTACGTGCGTATAAACACTATTTTCTCATGTTCCATGTGCGTGTTTTTGTGTGCGTGCACTGAGGGTTAAAAATCAAATAGTGTGGAAAAATTATATCACTAGTATAGAGTTTTTAGTGTATATTTCTTAGTGATGTTATCTTGCACTTGATTGTATTTTTGTATTTTCTTTAACCTACTCAGAATAATAAGATCAAACCCAGTTGCAAAAAAAGAACTTCTACCAGTTTTATCAGCATCTTCAGAGCCAATCATATTAATAATGGACACTAAAACTTGATTTAACAATTTTATCCTTTTCTCAGTGTCCCATAAAGGCTGTGAATCCTTGCAGCCCTGAGCTCTTTTTCTATAGGGCTGTAGCTGAGCGCACATTGTCTTGTTCTCTGGCTGAGTCTCCTCCACCATTCCCAATGTTGTTGCTTTCCTACCCATGACCTCTCTGTTGGAGTGTCAGGGAGTTCCTTTACTGCCACCAAGAGGTAGGCAGTTGGTGGGTATTACATGCAAACAAAACTCCCTGGATTTTAGAACAATAGGGGAGTGCCTGCTCAGGCCCTGCATTGTTGTAACTCCTTTCACCCCCATCTTTAGCTAGTTACATGCTGCAGCTCCTCACCCACAAGCTCTGTGACTGTGAGGGCTCCTGGTGCTCAGCAACCCTTGGCCAGCATGGGGGAGTCTTTCATGCCTGCACTGAATAATGGAGAGGGGGCCGGATATTACATGCACCCAGAACTCCCAAGTGTTTGGGCAGTAGTGGGAGACTGTCTGTGCTGGAACTCCCTTTCTAACCTGTGCTTCACTAGTGTAATCTTCAGCTCCCAGAGGCACACTTCTCCCAACTGCCAGCTCTGGGCCCCTGGTTAATGCTGTGCACTTGTTCTACACATCTCCAGGAATCTGAGGGTGTCATTCAGTCTCTAGCCTCTGAGTGGTACTCTAGTTTTAGTTTCTTTGATGCCCTGATCTGTGAGATGCTCCTTCACTGTGTTCCCACTCCGAGAGTAGGAGAGTAGGTTGGGAGTCTATCCCAGGACTCTCACCTCTGCTCTTTCCCTCAGGATGTGAGAACTGCTCTCAAGGTGGCATGGTAACCAGACATGGGGTGTATGGTGTGCTGTGTTTCAGAAGGATCCCTGCTTCCCTTTCTAACCCACTTGATGTTGAATTTGATCAAGTGGATTTCTCCTTAAGGTTGATTCCTCATGTTTATGTATGTTTAGCTCCCCCACTCTTGAGGACCTGAATTTTCTAGTGGGTCTTCTCTGACATACTCTCATGGACCTCTGCCACTAGTCTACCGTGATGGGTCCCTTCCCATTTGCAGTTCTCTGGGGAAGTGTCTTTTTAAGCTGGATTACTCGTTTTGGGGAAACTAGCTTTTTGAGTGTTTCACAATTTATAGACATTAATTCTTTAACAGAAATTTAGCAAGCAAAGGTTGTTGTTCCATTGGTCTGTCTCTTCACTCTGTGAACTGTTCCCTTTGCTGTACAGAAGCTTTTTGATTTGATGGCATCCTGCTTATCAATTCTTGATATTATTTATTGTACTTCTGGAGTCCTATTCAGGAATTCTTTGCTTGTGACTGTGGCTTCAAGTGAGTTTTCATTACCTTGAATGTTTATGAAGGTTAAAAATTTAATGTAAAAACTTATATGGACACATATAATGGGGTGAGGATGTATTACAGAGCAACAAAATGAGGTGGTTTTTTTGGTACCAGGGATTGAACTCGGGACCTTGTGCTTGAGAGGCAGGCAGCGGAACCACTGAGCTAAATCCCCAGCCCAACAAAATGAGTTTTTAGGAGAAACATATAATATTCCAATCAAAATTTGTTGCATTAATCCCATTTTAGTCTCTACTTTTGTTTATCTTACAATAATATATGAAACTACATTTAGCACTGACACAAGTAAATTAGCATAAGAAGACCATCAATGGACTGGTGATTTAACTGAATGGTGCCACACCTGCCTCATAAGCACAAGGTCCTGAGTTCAATCCCCAGTACTGACAAAATAAAAAGACCATTCACTGGAAAAACAATCCTTTGTTGATGTAAGCAGCATGTATCCTGTTATCATGAAGATGCATAATCACAAGGTGAGAGGCATAAGGATGCAGAAGTATCATTGTCAGGCCCAGTACTCAACTTGGACAGAGGTGTCTTCTAGGTTATCCGTAGAGAGATCTCCTATGAGTAGATGTAGCAGTGGACGTGCAGCTTTCTATTTAGGGGAAACAGCCACCTAGTGTGGTAGTCATCTTTGCATTAGTGTAAAAAGTACTTGTGCCAATCAACCTAAAGAGAAAGACTTTATTTTGAGATCTTCATGGGTGTCTGGTCTCACTGCTTTTCAGGCAGTGATGTAGGAGAGTATTTTGATGAAGAGCAAGTGATGAGGACCAGTACTGCTCAGTTCATGGCAGCTGGGAAGAGAGGAGGGATGGTTTTGCTTCCCACTATCTCCTTCTGGGGCATGGCCCCAGGACCTAACTTCCCCCTAGTTGGCTCCACCTGTTATAGGTACCAGGCCCACTCAAGTATCAGAAACTGGGGAACAAATTTTTAACACATGGGCCTTTGGGGACATTTCAGGTCCAAGCTATAGTAATGGAACAGGTGGCTGTGAGGAAAACAGCAGTAAGAAGAGACCACATCATGCAGGGATCAGTGAACCTCTCATCCTGGACACCCTTGTGAATTCATAGTCATGTACAATAACTCTCTTGGTGAACCAAGCATATTAGTGTCAAAATTTCTTTTTCTTATGAGAACTGAAGGCATCTTCTTTGATGAAGTTAAAAATCTCTAATATTTCAAAAATACTTCAAAGCATTCACATAATATAAAAGTGGGAATTTTATAAATAATGAAGCCAAATATGGGAGATGTTAATATGACCTCAGAAGGGTCCAGTTACTAGGAAAATCTCAGCAATTACTTAAATATGGAAGAAAGCTCAGATCATTAGCTTCATATGGGTTAAAACTCACAAACTATGACTCCAACCATGAAATCATGCAGAATCACACAGAAGCTCACCTCCAGATATCAACACAGACTCTCATACTTATCCCTGTTCCATCTACTACTCCCTCCAGCATTGGATTTTCTGAAATGAATCTAAAAATTATTGATGAAATTGAAACCTTAAATCATGTATTTTCTAAGCAACTAGAGGAACACAATAGAGTTTAGATATGGAAATCATTAGCCAAATACCACACAAATGTATGAATATAAAAGAAGCTTAAATTACAAATTGAAATGTGCTTAGGCATCATATTATACAGTCATCTTGAAAGACCTTAGTGACTTAACATTCAGGTTTTTTGTCTCACCTGCATTCTTGTCACTTTATCACATTCTAAAAAGCCAAACTTAGAGCTAACAACACAAGAATATAAAAGGCTTCCCAGTAATGAGATATCTCAGAGCTATCTTCATTTCTCTGTTCCTCAAACTGTAGATAAAGGGGTTCATCATTTGAGGGATCACAACGTACATTACTGAAGCCACAGCATTCTTGGTGAAAGATTCGGTAACAGCAGGACTCAAGTGGACACCAAAGCCTGTCCCATAGAATAAGAAAACAACAGAGAGGTGAGACCCACAGGTGGAGAAAGCTTTATACCTTCCCCCCACTGAGGCCATTCTGTAAACAGAGGAGACAATTTTAGTATAAGAGAAAATAATTCCAGCAATAGGAACACCAAAGATTATGACTGCTGCTGAATATATCTGAAGGGTATTGATAAAGGTATCAGAGCAGGCAAGCTTGATGATCTGGACAAGTTCACAGAAGAAGTGAGGGATTTCCACTTTTGTACAGAAGGAAAGCTGCAGTGCCATCAGAGTGTGGAGCAGGGCATGCCCAGTGCTAAGGATCAGGGAGAAAAGAACTAGCAAGACACAGAAGTCAGAGGTCAGGATGATCTGGTACCTTAGCGGGTGACAAATGGCCACATAACGGTCATAGGCCATCACTGCGAGGAGACAATTTTCTAAACCAGCAAAAATCAAGAAAAAGGTGCACTGAGTGAGGCAGCCTGTATAGGTGATGCTCTGATCCTCTGTTTGGATGCTCACCAGCAGCTTTGGAATTGTGGTAGTGCTTAAACAGATGTCATTAAGGGACAGATTGGAAAGAAAGAAGAACATGGGTGTGTGGAGATGGGAGTCAGCCCTTACAGCCAGGATGATGAGCAGATTTCCCAGGATGGTGACCAGGTACATGGACAGGAACAGGCAAAAGATGAGGGGCTGGAGCTGTGGGTCATCTGACAGTCCCAGGAGGAGAAATTCTGAGAGTGTTGTTCTGTTTTTCAATTTCATATTTTTTGTGAAACTATGGAGGAGATAAGATGAAAATAAAATGCAAAGGTATTTTGTGGATAAGCTCCAGGAAATTTTGTGGGTGATATAAATAAAAACTGTGAGTATTACCCAGGATGTGTGTTATACATGATCTGGAAATGACATGGATTCTATGTTGAGTGTTTACTATGAGTGAATTGAATGATTCTATGTCTATTAAAACATTTTCTTAAATCAACATAGCTTTGAGTCATGTTGTAAAGCCATGTGAATTTTCAGCTCATTCTCTGATTCCATTTTCTCTCCACTTGTCTCTCTTTTAATTTCTTCTTTATTAAACACCAATGCATTTTCAGGATTGTGACAAGTACTGGGATTGTGATAAACTATAAGACATGGATTGTTCTTTGTAAATAGACCCTGCCTTAAAAAAGAGAAATATGGCAATGAACTTATCAAATCTATCTTCGAGAGCAGCAGTTTTCAATGGTTTTTGACACCAAAGACAAGTTTCATGGAAGACAATTTGTCCTCAGACTGGCAGGAGGTTAGCTTGGGAGGATTCAACCCATTACCTTTACTGTACACTTTTTTCTATTATTACTACATTGTAATATATAATCCTATAATTTATAAACACCATAATTCAGAATAAAGAAAATAAAATAATGGGCAGGCCACATGCTGACCAAAATAAGGGTTGAAGTCTGACATAAATCTGTCAGCACATGCAGTTTAACTGTCACCTGCTGCTTACTTATAGGATTTTGATATGATCCTGCAAGCAATTGATGTATTATGGTGTGTGTGAGAAGTCAAACATCTCTGGTAATTTTAATCCCTATTTGCATCCATTCAGCATTAGAAGCATCACCACCTAAGCTCTACATCAGATCACGGGGCATTAGGTTTTTTTAAGGTACACACATGTAGTTCCTTGCACTCACACACCTAAGTCCTCACATGCACACATGTCAATCCTCAAATCACACACCTGGATCCTCACATACACACAACTAGATCCTCACATGCACACTCCTAGATCCTTGCATGCAAAGTTCACAGTGTGTTTTTGCTCCTATGAGAATTTTAAGCCAAGGCTGATCTCACAGGAGGCAGAGCTCAGGTTGTGACGTAAGGGGTGGTGCTTGGCTGTAAATAGAGCAGAGGATTTGATCACTTGCTGTGTGAGTTGATTCCTAACAGGCCATGGACCAGAGCATGACCCAGGGTTGAGCCTGTTCTTAATCAATGGTCTTTAATTTGGGCTATCCTCACTGTCACCTGAGTGACAATGAGGTCAAAGCATAGATGAGATAGTTTATGCTTTAGCCCCATGGACCCATGAGGACATGTCATGAAACGTGTACACCCTGTTTGGCAAACACTTGGGGAAAGTTCTAGTTGTCAGAGTGCTGAGTTGAGTCATTTGAGTAATTGCTGCTAGTTAGAGAACTAGCATCCATAACATTCATGTAGTGCTTGCTAATTTCCTGTATAGTTGAAATAGTTTCTTTATGAAATAAGTCCCCAAATTGTCCCTTGTTTTCAAGGGGGTCCATCAATTATGCATTAAGTGAATTGCAGCATGTGGAAGACAGCTACATGGGCAGACATGATAAATGATTCAAAAACTTCAGTTTTAGAGTTGAAGCTCATAGAGCCTCTCATGGAAACACAAGTGATCTGCCCTAGTTATTGATTCTAGGAGAATCTGGGTAACCATGTTGATAAGATTGTGTCCCTGTCCTATGGGAACTTATTCCCTTAATGAGTCTAGAAATATATAATTGCATAAAAGCAAACAAAATAATAGCTAAATAAAAGAAAGTGAAATTCAAAGGCTCTGTGAAAATAGATAAAATAGAAACAATTTATTGGTTTCTAGAAGACAGAGACTTAGTAAATAATACAGAGTCAAATATTCAGGTATCCTAATAGGAGTGTCTCTTGTAAGCATTGCTTGGTATTTTCTGGGGAAGAGAGAAGCAGGTACATTAGCAATGAACATTTGGTGTAAAATGAGACTCACAGGCTCTGAATTTAATTTGTCCTCTAGCAGTTACTATTAGGATGCATAAAATTCTTCCACTGCATGTTTCTCATTTGTGTAATGGAAACTGCTTAATGGGTGTATGCGTAGCTACAGCATGGTGATATTTTTAAAATGTGTGGTTCTTCAGCATGGACTGTATGTATGTTAAATACATAATTTTTATTCTGTAATTATACCTCTAAATCTCAGGGCTCAAATTCTCATGGAGACATTTCAAGGATATGAGAAATCAAGCAAAAGCAGCCTGCATAGTTGTAGATAGGACTATCCCTCAATTGACTTTTCCAATCTTTGGTGTATGCGTGTACATGTGGACATGTGTATGTCATAGGAATAGAAGATGGCACTTTTCACCCATCACAAAACAAATGGTCATGTAAGGCAGTGAGGAAAGAGAAAAGGAAGACAGGAAATCTCCAGCAGGAGCAATGCTAATGTCAGTGAAAGATGTATACAATTAAACTACCTTTGGGATTATTGATTAAGAAGAAGAGTAAGGAAACTAGTATCAATGATTCTAATATTCACATGACTACTACAGATGCTAAAACATGTTGAAATGGAAATGAATTAAATACTTAAAAATGAGACATGATACACAAAAGTAATAAATAACAGGAAATATTACTGGAAAAATTCTACATGAGAAGAAATTAAATTTAATTGAAGCTTTACATGTGTATAAATTTTTGATATGGATTATCCATATATGACAGAAATTGCAGAAATTGCATGAAATGCAGAAATTGTCCTCTTGTATGGCTTGCACTTCTTAGGAAACAACAAAAATATTGCCATATTTATAGTGGCACAGTTTATAATAGTTTCATCTTGGAAACAGCCCAAATGTCCATATACTGGTGACTGAATAAAGAAGATGTGGGTTTTAAAGAATGATAAACTAGAGACATTTATAGCTAAATGTATAGACCTTGAGACCATACTCTTAATTGAACTAAATGGAACACACATGTGTAAATACTGAATTGTTTCCATGGTATGAGAAACTGAAAGTGTAAATGAGGGTCAAAATGTATAATTGATATTGTGAATTAGCAAGAAAAGGTTCAAAAAGGAAAGGGAACTAGGTAGGGGGTGGTTAGGGAAAGAAAAGAAGGAAAAGAAAAAAAATCAGAAAAGAAGGAACAAATGAAAACAAAGTTTTTGTAAATAGTTAGGGATGGAGGGGATAAAATGAGGGAAGAGTAATGGGAAAAAAACAGGAACCATGGTATGTCCTGTACAGGTACAAATGCCCAATGATGAACGCAACCATATTGTTTACCTAAAATGTACCAACAAACTTAATGAATAAAAAAATTAAAATATCACCTACTTCACCATGTTTTCTTGAGATATTTTATTGAGAAATAATAAATTATTTGAAGCCCCTTAGTAAATGTTCTTTTACAAATTTAATTTTTTTTACTTCTGCAGGAAAATCATCACAATATATCAATAGCCAGCATTCTCTCTGAATTTTCATTTTTCTAGTATTATAATTCTTCAAACAACATCTTCATATTATTGCATTTTAAAATGTCCATATAACAGAACCATATTGTATATGTGTACCATTTACAATTGGTGTGATTAACTAATTTTTTTCTTTTAAATGTTGTTATATATGGTCCTGCTTATTTGATGTTTATCAGATTATTCCCTTATATTTTACAGCCCTATTTACCTCTACTTTCTTTAACTGTTAGGTAAAGTGGGTGCTGCCTCTTACTGATGACTAAGTGTAAAATTAGGAGCCATGCATGAGGGACATCATCACATTCAATGTGCCCTACCTAGGGGAAAGAACAATGAAAGGGTTCACCAACGTGCAGAATTCTGCACGTGTCTCATTTTATTATTTCATACAAAAAGACTTGAATAATCTCAGCACAGTAATGACATTGGTTAGCTGTGGGAGGGAGGTGGATGGTCATGTTTTTGGATGTTGTTATTTAGGCAATATCTACTCTTCCTATTAGCATGAAACATGAAGATCATTGGGCTCCTTGTTGAGGCTCTCTGTCTCTGCTTCTTTATCCAGAGTCCTCACACCCCAATACATAAAAGTACAGAAGATCTCTGCACGGTGATGAAATTGCTCAAAAGTATCTACACTCATTTTCTAATGATAAAGGAAGAGACTTTGGCTTACCTGGAAGGTTTCAGTGACCAAGTGCTCAGCAAGTCACCTGCACATGAAAGACCAACGATCTGTCCTCAGGAAGGGTGGACACACGGACTGAATCAGTGGGATCTGCACCAGGAGAGTCCATCTCTGGCAGAGAGCATGGCTCTTGGTGTCTATCTGGGCTGGACTTTTGAGTGAGGTTTTTCACAGCCTGACTCCAACAGGTGCTATATCCCCCAGGGGTCAATATCCAGAGCTTCTCATTAAGCAGAAAGTAACCAGAAACACTAATGTCATATTTGTCCCAGGAACATATATCCTTAAACACCAACTCTATAGAAGAGAGTAATTCAAAATAACTAACTCCTGAGGCCAGCTGTACATCATCTAGGTCTCTCTACCATTTCTGTTCCACTCCCTAACTCCAACTTTGCTCCCATAATCTAATGAAATTCTCTAATAAATGCATACCTTCCATTTTAGCTCTTTCCTTCTACTTGATCTTATAAAAATATTTTAGTTTTTTATTAGTACATTTTAAAATTTAAGTTTATTGATACATTTTAAATATACACAATGATCACATTCATCATAGGGAATTTGCATTTGTATGTGACATATCTTAATTCCTCTTTTTTCCCATTCCCCTGTGCTCCCTTCAACCCTTGTTCCCCTTCTTATTTAGAAATGCTTTGTTTTTGAAACTAAAAATGTAAATAAGGGCCGGAATGTACACTAGATATTATGATTTAGTAAGAAGATGCTCAAATGAGAAGGGGAGCTGGGACGGGGGAGTGGGGAAAGGAAGGAAAAGAAAAATATGATAAAATAGTACGTGTTTGCAGTACATGCACTTTACAATCATGTACACGTACATAATGCAACTTCTTTATTTTAATCCACTCCCCCCTTCCTCCCTCCTTTTCTAATTTATTTTTCTCTTATTTTCATTCTTACTGATATCATTATTCTTATTTCATGTTTATGGCATATAATGTCCACATTCATTGAAGTTATTTGGATTCTGTACATGGTATGTCTTCACTGTACCCATTTCCTCATCTACTCCCCTATGCCCCTCACACTTGGCCCCATGGACTCCTTCCCATCTGCAAGAGATTCATCCCTTTGTCTCTTCTATTCATCCATTACCTTTCTTAGTTTGTATTTTGCCTTACTGAAATGAGAAATACCATATGGTATTCAGGCTTGTGTGTCTGATTTATTTCACTCAATATTATATTTTCCAGATGCATCCATTGTCCTTCAAAAGTCTCAAATTTGTCCTTCTTTAAAGCCAAGTAGTATTTCATTATATAGACATATCATGTTTTCTTTACCCAATCATCTCTTGTTGGATATATAGCCTGCTTCTGGGATTCAGCTATTATGAATTGTGCTGTTGTAAACATTGGTACACATGTAATGATGTAGTACAATGTGTTAAACTCTTTAGAGAAGATATCTACAAGGGGTATAGCTGGGTCATACGGAGTTTCCAATATTAGTTGTTTGAGAAACCTCCATACTGATATCCATAAAGTTTGTACTAGTTTACATTCCCACCAGCAATGTAAGAAGGAACCTTTTTCACCACAGCCATGTCATCACTTGATATTTTTTTATTCATTAAGTTTGTTGATACATTTTAGGTAAACAATATGATGACATTGATTATTGGGAACTTGTACTTTTACATGATAGACCTTGGTTCTTATTTTTTGCCCATTCCTCTGAAATCCCTTCATTACCTCCACCACTCCCTATTAAAGTCTTTGATATTTTAAAATTTCTTGATAATTTCCATTCATTCTGGAGTAAGAAGAAATCTACTTTAGCTTGTACCTACCTGTCCCCCCAAAGCCACATGTGGTCATTGGTGGGGCTTTTCAGAGGTGGCTTTATCTGGAGTATGTGATGCTGGGATCAAGGATGTGATGCTGACATTGATTCATGGTGCAATGCTTGGATTTAGGCTAGCCCACCCTGGTTGTGGGAGCTAACACCCCACCCCGAGAGTGAATTACCTGGATAGGATATAAGCATTGCTTCTTCAGTACTTTCCTGCTTTGCTGCCCACCATGAACTGTTTCTCCTCTGGGATGCCCTTCTTCCATGCAACCCTGCCTTGGAACCAGTAAACTATAAACTGAAACCTCTACAAACTGTGAGCTAAGCAAACCTTTCTTCAGTTAACTTTGAGTGTCAGGTATTTTAGCTCAGCAGTGAGAAAAAGTAACTAAGACAGAATTTGGTACCAGAGAAGTGGGGTCCTTGCTGTACCTGATGATGTGGTCCAGGAGCCTTTGGAACTGGTTCATGGGAAGAGTTTGGAAGGGTTTGGAGATGCTGACTGAAGATCCAGCCCTGGAATGCCTGAAACTCTACTTGATGGGATTCTGGTCAGAGCTCAGAAGACTAGAAGGCTGATAGTAATTCTACCAATAAAGACGAGGCTGAGAAGATTTCTTCTGGGAAGGATTACATTGGCTGTTGGACTCCAGATGATGTGTTTTGTCCCTTGGCAGGAAGTTTGTGTCTATTTTTCTCATTTCCAGAGAGTTTACCTGAGACTGAGATTAAGGACAGTGGACTAATTAATCTTGCAGAAGAAATTTCAAGGCAGTCTAATGT